TCCTACGCAAAGCGCTTTCCTGCGCCGGCCGGAATGCCCTAGTAATTCTAGGCGACTTTAACGCCCCCCCCCCTCTTACCAGCTCGGGCTACCCCCAGAATACCCGCAAGGGCCTCTAATTCTGGAACTTCATCCACAACGAACGTCTATCGATTCTTAACGACTACACTTGCCCCACCAGAACCGGATCCAGTGTTCAACGAGACACCAATGCGGACCTTGCACTCGCCAGAAATGTAACCGACTCATCCTGGTCTAATACGGGTATCTCCCTCGGTAGCGATCACTACCTTCTTTGCACCACTTTCCCACTCCCCTCCCTTGCTCGCTCCTCTACTCGTCTTGCCCAGGTAGGGGACTGGAATCGCTTCCGCTCCCTTCGCATCTCTGCTTCCTCTCCTTCTGCTATCACGGACCTCTCAGTCTGGACGGAGACCATTTTGGCAGATGTCCGCACTGCTACATCCACACTCCCTGCAGCGCCACACTGCACTACGGCAGACAGCCGTCTGCTGCACCTTTGGGAGGTTTATAACGCGGTCCACCACCGATGGCAGGCCCAGAAACATAATCGCCGCCTGCGCCTCCGTTTGGCCCGGCTCTCGTTGGACATGGAGGAGCAGTGCTCCTCTCTTCTACAACAACAGGGGGGAGGGGGGGCAAATGTGTGACCACAAGGCCGGCAACCTTGGCCTCCGCGACACTTTGCCGCTTCTCAGTGTGCTGTTTGACTCCACCCATACCAAACCATCCCAGCTCAAGGATGTCTCCCTTCTACTTCACTGTTCCTCACTAACCGACACTGGGTTTCTGGCGACCCTCCGTGACCGCTACCTCTGCATCGACCTCCACACTCCACTTCCTGCTTACTCCGGCTCCTCCAACAGCGACCTTGATGCTGACATTTCTTGGTGAGGTTCGTGCTGCGCTACTCAAGCTCCGCACAACCTCGGGTCCGGGGGTGGACCACATTAAAAAGGCTCTCCGCAACCTAGATACCCCCTCAATCGAAGCCCTTACCGACCTTCTCAACACACACTGGCAGGCTGGTTCTCTTCCCTCCTCCTGGACTCATGCACGTGTCTCATCCCTGAACCTGGCAAACCCATTTACCTCGAGCACCTCCGCCCGATCTCTCTCACATCTTGCCTTGGCAGGCTGTTCGAGCATGTCATTCTGGCCCGCCTTAAACCTACCTGGACGACCATAACCTATATCCGGACTCCATGTTCGGCTTTCGTCCGCAGTTGTCTACCCAGAATGTCATGCTCCAGCTCTCCGAAGATGTCTTACACCCATCCCACCAGAAATGCACTCGAGCTATCCTGGCGCTGGACCTAACCAAGGCGTTCGAGACTGTACACCCCACAGCTATTCTGGACGTTCTCTCCTCCGTTCACGTAGGACACCGTGTACATGCTTACATCACCGCATTCCTCACCCACCGCACCGCAGAAATTTCATACGGCCCACTTCCTTCTCTTTCTATCTCTTTATTCAATAAGGATTGATTGATTGATTGATTGATATGTGGGGTTTAACGTCCCAAAACCACTATATGATTATGAGAGACGCCGTAGTGGAGGGCTCCGGAAATTTCGACCACCTGGGGTTCTTTAACGTGCACCCAAATCTGAGTACACGGGCCTACAACATTTCCGCCTCCATCGGAAATGCAGCCGCCGCAGCCGGGATTCGAACCCGCGCCCTGCGGGTCAGCAGCCGAGTACCTTAGCCACTAGACCACCGCGGCGGGGCTCTTTATTAAATAAGGATACTCCCCAAGGGTCTGTGCTTTTCTCTCTTCTCTTTCACATTACCCTCTTCCCACTGACACGCAAGTTTAGCACAATACCAGCTATATCTCATGCGTTCTACGCCGATGACATCACCCTTTGGGTGACCACCGGCAATCTTCGCCACATGGAGACCACTCTCCAGTCGGGTGTGGACGCTGTGACATCTCACGCCCGAGCTATCGGGTTGAGCTGCTTGGCGACCAAATCGGGGCTTTTGCTCCTCCTGCCTCGCGGAGTGGCTCCTTTGTCTCCTTCTCCACTCACCATCTCCGTTGACGGCACACCACTTCTCGTCTCTACCCTTCACATCTTTGGACTCTTTCTTCAGTCCAATGGTAAGTACACTACCCTCATCAAACAACTCAGCAACGCTGTACACCAGACCATGCACCTCATACACCGCATTGCAAACTTACACCATGAGTGCGTGACCACGACCTCCACCACCTGGTTCAGGCCTTTCTTCTCAGCCACTTTGTTTATTCTCTACCGTATCTCTTCCTTTCTCGCACCGAGGAAGACAAAGTCAACTGCCTTATTCGTCAGGCGCATAGCATAAGTCAGCCCTGTCCCTTCCCACATCTACCTCAACGGATCGGCGACTGTCGATGGGTGTCCACAACTCCCTCACGGAGCTGACGGAGGCCCATCGCACGGCCCAGCTCCTCTGTCTCTCTCGCACACGGTCAGGTCGCGCACTTCTCTCCACCCTTAAACTCTTCCCTCTATTGCCTCTTCCCATCTCACTGCCCATCCCTTCCCACGTCTCGTCCCTTCTAGCCATGGATCCCCTCCCAAAGAATATGAATCCCGAACACCACTCTTCCCTCAGAGCAGCGCGAGCCTTAGCGCTCTCGCGTAAGTTTGGAAGGCAACCCGACGTGGCCTTGTGGACGCCGCCCCGTATCGCCAATACGCATCCCATGCCCTCGCAGTCACCGACAACTCCCTCCGACCTATCATTACTGCCTCCGTCTGTACTTCCACCTCTGTTGAGGCTGAAGAGGCAGCTATTGCCCTTGCCATTACACAAACCTCAGCAGAATACATTTCATTTCATTTCAGACTCTAGGTAGGACGGGTGGCAACCACAGCCGCACACATCCTGCGCTCTAGCATCATTTCCTCTCGCCCCATTCATATCATCGGGGTACCCGCTCACGCGGATCATCCAGGCAACGAGGCGGCCAATTCTATCGCTCGCGATTTGACCGACCGAGCAAGCCCGCACCCGCCCGGGATGAATACGCGAGACACGCTTCTCACGTACCACGACATCTCGTTGCACTACCGCCTGTCCCGCCTCACCTTCCCCCCACCACACCAATCCCTTTCCCAGCACCAACAACACCTGTGGCGCCAACTTCAGGCCCGCAACTTCCTTACTCCTGCACGTCTTGTCCTCTTCCACCCCGGAACGCACTCGCCGGCCTGCCGCTTATGTGGCAGCTCAATCGCTAACTAAGAACACATACTTTACTCCTGCCCGGCACATTTGCCCCCTGCCTCTTGGTACCTCAGAAGTCCGCAGCAGTGGGAGGCTGCTTTGTCCAGCACCAGACCGGACCTGGAACTTCGGCTGGTGACTTGGGCGGAGGACGTCGCGGCTAGGCACTGCCTGGACGCCACAACCGGTAGCCTGAAGGTCGCCCACAACGCTGCTTTTTAATTTTTTTAAATATTATTTTACTTTTTGGCCTTCTGACGAATAAAGTTTTTCACCTACGCCGGTCCCGGCGACGAACGCTGGTCGCGCCTGGCGTCAGACTATTGTGCGCTCGCGTTTTCCTAGCGTAGCGTCACTGCGCCGAGCGTGCGCACGCGTCAACGTTACATCGGAGTATATGCACGAAAAGGCGAGTGTTGCCAACGCTTTGTGGTGGCCCCTACCCGTCGCCTTGCGGTTTTACACCTCATCACCTTTTAGACGGGCGCGTACACCCGTCTCAGAGCCACGAGCTTCGTTTTTGGAGATAACTGCCAGGTAGCGCTCATGTCTCACGTTTGACGTGACTTGATGCGCTCGTTCGTCTCCTCTGCGTGCTCGAGGCACTCTAACGCAGCACCTCCAGAATACCATTCACCAATTTTCTTGCGCAGAACATCAAATGAATATTTTGTTCGCTCTCTCCACACGCAAGACTATTCTCTTTCGACGACATTTGCCGATTAACATGCAGATACGGGGCCAATTTCTTTAACATCTCATTCTTTAAGCACCTTTAGCCATCATTGATTATGCGAGAACTCTTCGGTTATTTCGAATACGCGCTATTGCGATTCGAGCACACACAGAATCGAATAGAACGTTGGTCGATTCGTTATTGTAAAGCTTGTGGAAGCACAGACCAATTTTCAGCGGAGTATACCTAATTAGAGGCGAAGCCGACACAGAAATAAATGAGGGAAGCTTGCTGTACTTTGTGCAAAGCTTGGTGCTATGTAGGAGATTAGCCTTCGGCTCGTCGGGCTGCGGATAAGGAATTGCAAAGCCCGTGGTGATCGGCGTTGTTGGTCGGAGAAGTGGCAGCGAGGACACGGCTCAGTTGTGGCCTGGCTGCTTTTTATCACAAGTTGGTGCGCAGCTTTGGTGGCTGCAATGGCAACGATGCAGCAGATATTTTTGTTAACAGACGTGTGACTGACAGTAGTGAGCAACATGAATTTTAGGGAAGGATGGGCTTTAGGAGCTAGATAAGCAGGGCCGTAATTTCGGAGGCCCCATTGTTGGTTAGCCTCCAGCCGAACGTAGTACCAAAGCACCAGGACGCACGTCCGGGTCCCAGACATATCCATGCATGTCCCATTCCGGTTGCTCTAAAGAATTTCTATACGTATCGCCGTACGCAAGCTGGAGTTAAATGAGGCAGCCTGCATACTTTCAGGACGTTAGCGTGACACGCTGGTGCGTGGATATGGCCCGATGGACAAACGAAGCCTTGGTGCTCCTCCTAGAGATACTCCAAAACAAGCGCCCACCGTGTCAATACAATTGATCACAATGTGACCACGTCATTGGTGTTCGAAACTATTATGCGGTACATCAAGTAACAAATGATGTCGTTCGCTCATGAGTAGTGGTGGGTAGAGAGCAGCGGTAATGGGTATCCCAGAGGATACTACTACTTATGCGCACGCAGAAACTGAACGCCAAAGAACATTCCATAACGGGTACGCTCCATCCCACAGATTAATACTTACTGTGGCCTGAACGCAGTAAATGTAGAAGTACTTGAACTCTGAAACCTTTTTCCCGTCTTCTAGTTTGATCATGATATCTGCATTGTTGTATGCTTTTAGTTCTTCGGTGCTGAAAAGAGAGGGGAAAGAATGGCTTGCATTAAAAATAAAAACATTGAAAAAGGTCTCAAAATCTGGTTCTGGAGCAGTGGTAATAGAAGATATTTTTAAAGACAGAATCAGGCTGTTAGGAGCTAAAATTATTCAGTGTATTTTTCAAGTCTAATTTCTTTTTAAAAACGCAGCGATTTCGTAAAGGTACACCCACATTTTCTGCGAACGAGTCTAAAAAAATAGGTTACGAGATATTTTTGAAACCACGAGTTTGCAAGCCGCATAGAAAAAAAAAGTATTGGCAGCGCGCAAGAATGACGCCGCTTGGCCTTTGAGGAACGAGTTTCTCGTATTCGAAATCACAGGATGACCACGAGTGAAGTAAAGCAAGAATAGTGGGAAGTGACGGCAGGCTGCCGCACGCCATCACTTCATCCTCATTTACCACACCTGCTTCGTCTTCTTTGAAGAAAACGGCACACCACACAGAAACACGTCTACGTCACCTTAAGCAGGTGCACCACCATTCAGGACATTTAACCGACTAACACTGCCGGTGGCCATCGCTTGATACTGGTGACCGCGCTGCTGGTGACCATGACTATAGCACAGCTAAACAACTGGTGCCTCAATGCTCACGCGAGAGACATAGAACGTGATCCTGTTCTAACCAAAGCAGACGCACCGAGCCTGACGAAAACATGCAAGCCCACAGGTTTGGACACTGCTTCATCATGGCACCAAGATCAAAGACATCGAGGACTCCCGTGTGCTCAGATTTGGGTGCACGTTAAAGAACCCCAGGTGGTCTAAATTTCTGGAGCCCTCCGCTACGGCGTCTCTCATAATCTTATAGTGGTTTTGGAACGTTAAACCCCACATATCAATCAATCGAAGACTGGTTGGTTGACTTCGAGTGCGTGGCTGCCTTGAACGAATGGAACATGAAACGACACGGCCAAACTAGTGTGCCATTGTGAGCAATAAGAGCTCTAACACGCGAGTGCGAGGCAAGTAGCATCAAAACAGATATAACGTGATACGTGGATGGCACTGTCGAAACCAGCCGGGAAATAACGGGTGCTCGATCACTGTCCTTTGGCACTCCCGCTTCGCTATAGCGCTGCGGTCAAACGACAGATGATTGCGTGCAACCTGCCCCGAGCGAAGATAACACGAAGAACATTGCACGAAAAACGAAGTGAAAGACGTACTCTAAAATGCGCATATCATATCGCTAACGATAGTACTCCTACTTGGAGGACAGATCAGGTACATGGTACCCGATTGATTGATTGATATGTGGGGTTTAACGTCCCAAAACCACTTCATGATTATGAGAGCCGCCGTAGTGGAGGGCTCCGGAAATTTCGACCACCTGGGGTTCTTTAACGTGCACCCAAATCTGAGTACACGGGCCTACAACATTTCCGCCTCCATCGGAAATGCAGGTACATGGTACCTGAACCAAGAGGACGAGATGACGTCGCGGCGCCAATTCTACTGCCGGCTGCTGGATACTTACACCACTGCTGATCGCCAAGAAAGAGCGGAACGGGCAATCCAGGCCCGCATCGGCATGCAAAATGAAGCTGTGACTATTCCGACGGGCTGATAAGAGAATGATAAGACAACTTCTCCTAGGAAAAGAAGTTGCATCACCTGATGCAGGGAGCTGAGGAGCAGCTTCTTGCTGACCTTGTACAGATCCCTCTGAAGATGGCCGCCGAACTCGTGTCCGAGACCGTCGCGATGAAAAAGATGCTTCAGCATCGATACACCCATTGCAAGCATCATCAAAAACGAGCTGCACCAGGCCCTTCGTGGCCCTGTGAGTCTCAATAACACCACACCCGTCCTGGCTGACTACCACCATGCAGAAGCCTTGAAGCGCCCTGCTCTCTCTTCCCCGCTCGTTCATCCATCACCTACGGTTTCGCTTCAGTCGGCACAGCCGCTCCGGTACTACAATACACGCATACCGCCACCTTTCGTTTACGCCGATCCTGCAGATCTTGCCGAGATACCAGCATGTTTACTCGATGAAAGAAGCGCGTCGCCTCGGAAATGAGATGTTTGGCACACTCCTGATCACCGACCTCTCTTTCTACCGTGGTGAAGCGGACCATTCGTACCGCCATTGGCCATACCGGCATTTCGGGCAGCGGGGCTTTTAAGCATTATTCAGTGCCTCCTCGGTATGTCCAACGACCTCGGGACATTGACGACTACCTGGCTATAACAGCGCATGCCACCGCGTTTCTCGTCTATTCGAAATCACAGGATGACCACGAGTGAAGTAAACTGCCGCACGCCATCGCTTCATCCTCATTTACCACACCAGCTTTGTCTTTGAAAAAAGCAGCGGGGAGATTGTGAACGGCACGCTCACCGTCGCCGAGGCGCTTTCAAGCTCCACCCTAGTCACATACTGGCACGCAGTCCTGCAGTCCCCGCCGGAAGACTAACGAAAGCAACCTTTGGAGGCGAGGTCGCTGGCAGTCTACGAGCTGAAGACCTCCGATGGGCGGCTTTCTCTGGATACACCAGTGCTGAGCGAAGGCTACGTCAGCAGTCCTTTACTGGATACCGGGGCTGACTAATCGACACTAAACGGGAAAATGACCACACTACGAAAGCAGGTAATCACGCCCTGGCATTGCTCCGTGACAGCTGGTGACCACATCGTCTCTCCGCTTGGAACCTGCACGAGTAGAGTTTGGAATTGTGGTTGTGTTGTCGTAGCAAGTTTTCTTGTGTTGTGTCAGTGTTTCCATGACGTCAATCTTCGTGTTGACTTCCTGCAGGAGTACGGAGCTGGTATTGATCTCCAAGAGCATCGCATCAGCTTCTCAGCCGACCGAGAAATCGACGAGCAGCACGACTAACAACGTGTCGACGTTTTTCGTGCTTCTGTTGAACGTCTAACGCTCCCTCCAAGAGCCAGTGTTATAGTAGACCGACGTTACATGCTGTGGATTGCGAAATGGTGAAGCGGTTGCAGAAAGTAGCTTTGGACACCCACTGGCTCAAGGTGTTTGTGTGGATCGGAGTATCATACATCTCCGAGATAACCGATCTCCACTGCTGGTTACCAATATCAGTAACGAACCCTTTCCGTGGCACATCATTAGCGTTTGCAGACGAATTGGGAAACGTTCTCACCTGCTTCACATCGGAAGCAGTGAGGGCCGCGGATGCACCTCTTGACAATATAATATTTCTGGCCTCCCATGGGATAAACGAACAGCACTGCGCAAACCCTTGCTTGGATTCAAGTCGTGCTTCACCACTTCCTCAAAGGTGCGCAAGACTTCAATCGCTAGGTACGGAATCATCACTTACGACGATGCCCGCCCAGTACATCAGCAGCCCTACCACGTGTCAACGAAGGAACGCGAAGCCATCCGCACGCAAGTTCGAGAAATGCGTCGTCTCTGGTCGTCCTAACCGAAAAAGAAAGACGGAACGCTACGCTTTAGCATCGATTACCGGAAGCTAAACAGAGTAATTAAAAAGGACGTGTACCCAATGCCACGCATCGACGACTCAGACAGATTACGCCGCGCCCAGTACTGGCAGAATTTGGTTCACGAACGAGACCACGAGAAAACTGCCTTTGTGACCCCCTATGGTCTCTATGAAATATGAGTATTTCATATTGGTTTGTGGTCAGCGCCCGCAACTTTCCAGCGAATGATGGACACTATGCTTACTGGTCTGAAGAGGCAAACTTGTCCTGCATTCCTTGACGCATTCTCTTTTTTTTTCTGAAACATTCCAGCAGCATCTTCACAGCCTCAGCCTTGTACTAGAGCCTATTTTATCGGTAGTGTCACTTTGGTTATGAAGAGCTCAAATTCCTCGGCCATGAAGTGAGCGGAGTCCCACCCGATTCCGAGAAGCTTGCCGCTGTAGCCGCTTTCCCACCTCCTACCAACAAGAAGGCTGTTGGGCGATTTCTGGGCTTGTGCTCCTGTTATCGATGATTTCTTAGAGGGTTTTCGAAGACAGCGGAACCCTAGACCCGCCTTACACGAGACGACACACCGTTACTATGGGCTACCGAGCAACAGGCTGCTTTTGCCGAACTACGACTGCGGATGCAGTCAGCACCCGTTCTTGCTCGCTTTGACGATGATGCCGACATCAACACGGCTAAGAACGAGTAATAGCCTATGCCAGCTCCTCAATGTCCCGTACCGATGTAAATTACACGACTCCAGAAGAAGAGCGTCTCGCAGTAGCATGGGCGATCACCAAGTTTCGCGCGCACCTATATGATCATCCGTTAGAAGTGGTGAGTGACCGCCATGCCCTCTGCTGGTTGGTGAACATACGTGATCCCTCAAGGCGACTGGCCCCGGTGGAGCTTGCGTCCACCGGAATTTGATGTGACGATCTTCTATAAATCTGGACGGATGCACGAAAAGGCTCATACACTATCGCGTGCAGTCGTGCATTTAATCAGTCAGGAAGAAGAGAACGATTATGGTTTACTAGGCGTCCTTATAGCTCATCAGACTTGAGCAGACGGCAGCGAGAGGATGAAGAGATTCGACAGCTCATCGACTATTTAAAGGGTCGTAGCGCCGTTATTCTGCGCCATCTACATCGCGTCGTGACGTTTTTCTGCCTTCGAGATAGTGTCCTGTACAAGAAAAACACCCGTTCTACGAGCCACGCTTACTTCCTCGTCGTTCCGAAGGACACGCAGGACGACGTCCTCTTCGCGTGTCATGACGAGCCCACATTTGCTCATCTAGGCTACTCGCGAACACTCGGCAAGCGTGAAGCAGCACGTCACAGCTGTCGCGAAAGCCAGCGTCGAAATTCGGCTCAAGCAAGCCGGCTGGATTACTTCAACCAAGGGACCCATATCACAAGCCATTCGACCAAGCCGGCCTGGATATTCCTCGGCCCATTTCCTTTATTGACCGAAGGCAACAAATGGGTGATTGTAGCAGCTTACTATCTGACAAGCTATGCCGAACAGAGCTGATACCACGAGCCACGGCTTCTGAGGTAGCGCAGTTCCTCATGTGACACATTCTCCTGGGTACTAATTGGTAACATCCCTCTTGCTCATTGTATTGCCTACCCACTCTTTAAAGGACACCAGCGGGGGCGACGAACGCGGGCACTAGCAGAGATCAAATAAGCCGGCCCAACTCTGTCGCTTGATGGGCGCATAGAACGGTATCACTGGGTTCGAGTTCTTTCGTCGATTGCTGCTCAAGCAGAGAGGAAATGCCCCAGACGTTTTAAAAGAGCATCACGAATGAAGGATCCCGTAGTGACGTCACTAAAACCACGATGTTGGTAAACCGCATGGCACGCGCACTATGTCACGTTTCGCTTTAATATTAATAAGTCACTCGCTAGTTATTTTGTTGCTGACGGGCAAAGACCAATAAAATTCTGGACGCATCGCAATCATACTGAAGCATGTCCAACGTGATGTGATCACGGTGCCTCCACGTCCTTTAGGGCACTGCAGGTGTTGATGAACCAGTGCACTGTGGATCTGCGACGATCTGGTACATTGAATACACGAGGGAGAGGGGAAACGGCTCTTGCTTGAGCAGCAATTGTGAAGTGATTCCCAAAAACGTGGTCGCGATCAATGGCGCGCGTGCTATCTCGGCAGGTAGGAGTGGACAGCCTGTGTATCCCTCTACGTGCGTTCGAAATCATTTTTCCTTGAAGTGGCCGTATTCTTTTACACAGGCGTTTCATAGATATTGAATCGAACTTCACTTTGTATTACACACCATTGTTGCTATCGCATTCATTGCTTCGCCCTCGCACTGAAAATTCAAGTCATTCGGTAAGAAAGTAAAAGCACTCACTTGCCATTCTCGTCTTTAAGCCGAACGCCATTTTCATCAATCTTATCATTCGAGACGTAGAAGAAGGTCTCTATAACGAAATAAACAACAGTTTTGTGAGCAACAAAGAAATGTCAGCCGCGTCACAAAATTGACAATTATGCTCTCATGCACGCATGTACCAACAACTTCGTACATGAATGAGCCCGACCTCTGCAGTATACTCGTGTGCAAAAGTACACGGACCACGGGAGCGCGTACCTAAATCACTGTCTGCACCATCTAGTGGCAAACTGTTCGCTCTCGGATAAGCGTTCTGCATGACGAGACCGCTGCCCAGAGCATAGCTATGACGCAATTCGTCAGAGAAACGCTCTCGACAACCGAAGACTCGCCACAGACGGCGCAGATTGTAAAAGTACACGGATGGCATTGATTGATGAACTTTTGCTCACGAGTGCACATGCATGACGTGGCAGACGTTCAAACCAGTGCCCTCACTTGAGGTTTGCTGTGTGTCGTACATATATCGCAAACCAGCCCCTCATCTTATCTTTTCTTTTGTTGACCTCATCAGCTTTGCAATGAAAACTCCTATACTGCTGCAGGATTTCCACCGGCTATCCAGTCAAATTCGTCAAACGGCGAGTGAAAAGTCGCCAAAACTAACCATATTTCTTAAAATTCTACCAAACCGCTCAACATATGTGTGGCCTGACTGGTAATAAAAATTCCTAATTACGCACAGCCACCCAAATATTTAGCTGTCTTGCGCAAGCGCCTACATTTTTCTGCATCAGCGCCGTACGACGGAGCCAAGTAGTGAACAGAGAGAGATAGTAAGAGCATGGCCTCAAAGCGCACTCAGCTGGGCCCATCGTCGGCTTGGCTGTGCCTTCGTGAGAATCTCGCCTCGCATTAACTCACCTCAGAAGGAAAAACAACTATTGCCCGTATTTTATGTACCGAAGATCAGCAACTAAACAAGAAAATGAAATCAGCGGATATGTCACGCGCCCCCACGCATGAGAAGCTAACAAAGGTGGTAAGAGGGCCGATAGCTACGCCAAACGTGCTGCAATGCTTCAAACATATCGAAATGCCATCGCTAAGGGAAGCTGGCAAACAAAAAACGTTGGCTCAATTCACGCGCGAATTCTCACTCATAAGAAATAATCTTCGTTAACTTCGTAAATTGTAGAGAAATTTCGTTGCATCTGAATAAAACGAAACGTAATGCATTCGCGATGAATTTTATGCATGATGTTCGTTCCAAAGTGCGGAAACTTCCACACTTCGGGAGTACGAGTGCTATAACAAGATAAGTTGCCAGATAGCTTTGCAAGTTCTTCCAGTAAGGAAGTGTAGTGTTTAGCACTAAAATAATATTCCCGCAAGAGTAATTTTGTAAACGCCCAGTGGGATCCTTCCAAGACGACCGACAGCCAGCAGAGTGCACGGTGGTTGCGACGGTGAAAATTATATTTTAGTGCGTGATGGTCTGTTGTGATGGTGAAATGACATGTGAATAGGGCCACAATTTTCCTATGGTTCAAACTAGAGCGAGGCATTCTGTTTCGGTGATTGAGTAGTTCCCTTCGGCGGCGGATAGGAGACGGCTCGATAACATGGGCGCACCCGATGGTTGAACGGTGGGCCATAACTGCACCGGTTTCGTGGCCACTGGCGTCGATGCGGACTTTGCAGGGGCGACAACGCCGAAATTGGCCACAATAGGTGGTGTTAGCAACGGGATCAGTGTACGCAATTTCCTCGTGAGCACGACAAACGACAGCGACGAGGGACAAGATTTGCTGCCGCAGGGGCGTCGTGCGTTTCTGGAAAACAAGAAAATGTCGCTTGTCGCCCGGAAGCCAGCATGGCGATTTCCGAAAACATGACTGCGCCCTTGGCCCTCGCTTTGGTTGCGATTCGATCTCGATGTTTGTTATCCGCGCGTACTTCAAGAAATCAAAGTGTCGGCTACCTATTTTACATTCTCATCTCAGTGGGGGAGTGAGAGAGCGGCCGTATTTTGTCCTAAATCTCTTTATTGTAGGTTTGCTATGATGGCTTGACGCATTGTAGCAAGCGGCAATCGGGTCGCTTGCTACAATGCGAAATCATCGTGCGAAGGGCGTCGTTGCCGTCGTAGCGTATGCTTCTGGGCAGCCTGTCGTGGTTAAACGCGAGATTGCGAAATAAGACGGCCGTGAAGAGCTTTTCACTGCCGTCTTACAAAACGGCCATGAAGACAAGACAGTAATAACACAACACAGTAATAAATTTGGCATTTTAACATGTGGTTGCAGCCAGTCGCGCCGCGACGGAGCAAGTTTGTCGCGGCCGCTCTTCTCTGTCGCTAGGAAATCGCGTGCAATGGGTTAGGACTTAACGTTGTCAAGGTAAGACAGACATATTGACCACCCACGCAAGGAAGTACCACACCCGCTCCGAAGGGACCGGGGCATTGCATAACAATAAGGGCGTGACTTAAACTGGAAACAACCGTCTGGAGTCACAAAAGCGATCTTTTCGTTCTCCATTTCGTTGACAGCAATTTCCCAGTAATTCAGAGCATCGTCAATACACGGTAGTGGAGAAAGGTCTGTTTTAGCTTTTTTAGAGATCTTGTTCAGATGTCGGTAAACAACACCGAATCGCCACTTCGTTGAAAAGAACTACGGGATAAGCCAGGTATGACCGTCGATGTACCGGAGAGGCATCGCTGGTGTTAATGCGGTGCTTTGCAGCATACGTTTGCCCTAGAGGATGGGTAGCGAGGGAAGGGTAACATAGGGAGGGCAGGCAGGCGTGATACGGCAAAACGTCTGGTTCATTCATTTGTTTCACATTAAGAGAGCGGCTTGCTAGTGAAGACTGGAAAAGTCAATGTTGTGGTAAAGCCAAGTGACTCTACTGGGTCGGGGTTGTAGTGGGCTGATGAGTGGACTTTAAATATGGCTGGACATGTGTGCGAGTTGAAGGCCACGTGCTTTAGCAGTGACCCAACATGTGTCGAATTCGTTCGCATTGAAAGCAAGTCAGGCTGGGCATGTCCGCGAGTTGAAGGCCACGTGCTTTAGCAGTGACCCAACATGGGTCGAACTCGTTCGCATTGAAAGCAAATCAGCCTTTAGTCGGGTGTCTTCGCACATGGTGGTTCTTCGTGCAGAATGGTTTGTATGAGCTATATGGTTGACAGAGGATCACTCTGCGCCAGTGCCTTCAATGGTGCGGGTGATATGGATTCAATTTCGTGGCGAAGGATTTTTATAATGTCAGAATATGGACTGTGGTGGGTCTCAACATGTGCGAAGCGCAAGTCCTCACAAGTTCACGTCACAGCAGTGGGGCGACGACTAGGGAAGTGGTCGGCTTTACGTTTCCTCAAAGAGTTTACACCGCGAGATAGCATCTTGAACCGTTGAACAGCCTCTGAAACTGAAGTAATTGTTGTAGTCTTCAAGCGCCTGAGCACGTGCACTGCCTTGTTGGCTTTGACCAGGGGGATGCCAAGTTTGCGGGAAAGGGTCAAGACATCTTGTATACACACCAGTTGCGACTCCGTCGATGTCTGAACACTTATGTCAAGTTCTTAGCGGCTCGCTTGCAGCCGGCAGATTGACCCAACAACTCGCGTATGTTGTATACGCTGCAGCTGGTTATCATTTTCGTATTGTGGAACCACGCCTGTCAGTTTCGCTACCGGAGTGGTGCTGCCGGTGTCAGTGCAGTGCTTTAATGAACTGGTTTGCCCTAGTGGATGGGTTGGGTAGGGGTAGGAGACGGGCAGATTGGGCCTGTAATGTAGCTGGAAAGACCAACATCAAGAGGAGATGACGCTGCTGAGGGTAATTCTCCTAGCTTTCTTTTTGTGTACAAGTACCCGCGCTTTTGATTGAAGCTAATTAATAACTCTCGTGTTAAGGATGATAGTTCACCGAGCGCAAATTAGAATCAGCTCTTCTGCAGGTGCATGGTCACGATATTTAGATAGCCTTTCATGTAGGTTTCAACAGTTGCAAACATAGAAACAACATCCGTGGAGGGCGCTTAAATGAAGTAGGCGTACGGACTACTTGATAGGCGCATAGGCATATACATACGCAGTCAGCGAAACAGGAGTCTGCTTAGCGGGAAAGCATAATGGCTGATGTGGCAACAGCGTAAGCGTCGGTATTTTAGATGTGAAGCATCTTAGAGCGAAGCACGGTGTAAGATACAAATGTCTTACACCGTGGAGTGGGGTGAAATCCGATATGCGGTGGATGACCACCCGTCCTCGCTCTCTCGCCTGGCAACGCCGACGAAGGCAGCATCTGCTAACCTACGGTCGCTCCACTAGGCACTGTTGCTCCACCGTCTATTCTCTAGGCATCCCTTTCTGTGTCGCCAGTGTTGTTTACACCATAGAGTTTCCTAAAAATAACTAGAGGGGACTCAGTCACTGCGATCGTTCAGCGACCATGAGAATGATGTGTAGTACACACATTTGCCTAGTGTTCGTACTTGCGGGCAGCAAATCGGCTTCGTTTATTGCTGTGTTTCGGTTTCAGTTTGAAAGAAAGATTCAACCCTTTTGAACTTTGTGACCAGATTTGGAAAGGTAAGTCTAAAAGAATAAGGTGATCAAGCGCAACCGCTGGACATTTACTGATTTTTGTTTCGTGAGAAAACAGCTCCAAGTCACACGAAACTACACGGAGCCAAAAGCAGGCCAGAAGTACAAATATTAGACAAACGTGTGTACTACCCATCATTCCCATGCTCGCTGAAGCGCCGTGCGTTGCAGGTCCAATAAAAACTAGCACCAGAGTTTCCTCTAGTATACATTAGGAAAATCTATGGTCTACACCCTCAGTGCGCATGCACGTCCCCTCCCCTCTTTCCTCTTCTACTCTCTCTCGCTCTCTCGCCTGGATATGCCCCATGCAGATAGTGTCTGCTAGCAAGTTTAGCAATAGAAAAAATGCCGCCCGCATTTTTCCACGGAGAAAACTTGAGTATGGTGGGGGTAACGGGTCAATGTTGCGTAATTGCGTATGGTTTGAGAATGCTTACTTGTTATTTCGTTTTATTATTCTTATT